TCACCAACGACCTCACCATCTGCAACTAGGGCTTTCGTTTCCTCTTTGTTCTTCTCAACCTCTCTACTGACTTCAATTTCATAGACCTTTCCATTCTCCATGGGCTCTCCTCCTTGCTTCATCTCTACAGTTCTGTCCTTCCTTGATTTCCCTCTTGGCTACTCTAGTGACTTCATTTCATCTCTTTCAATGACTTCCTCCTGCCCCTGCACAGTTACGTGCAGTGTTCCTTGGGGCTTTATCCTTGGTTCCTCTCCTCCATCCCCACTTTACTCCCCCTGTAGGCATGAGGTCCACTTCCACATGTGACATCCAACTCGTTATTTCTCTGCCTGTACCCTAGTTTCCAAGACTACTGCTGTTCTGACTGATTGCCTGGCAGACATCAATTCTTGCATGAGCTGTAACTTTCTACAGCTTTTTGTCAACAAGGCCAAGTCTTTTCTGTTTGGCTTCCATCAGCACCTTCTCACTTCAAGCACTGACTGCATCGACTTACGTGGTCACTCAATCCACCTCATGGAGCCGGTACAGAACTTTGGTGTCTTCTTCAACCCCAAACTGTATTTCAAACCCTAAATCCAAATGCATCAGCATCCAAGGCTGCACTCTCAACCTCTCAAAATCGGTCAGGAACCTCGAGGTTCTGTTCGACCTTGAGCTGTCCTTTCTCCCTCATAGTCCTGGAGTCCTGTAGCTCAGTGGTTAGAGCACTCGCTTTGCAAGTGAGAGACCTGAGTTCAATTCCAGGCAGGGCGAAACCTTGGGCAAGTTTCCTTACTCCACACGCCTAATAATAATCCCTCCAAAAAAACTAAAAACAATAATTAAATTGGTCATTTTCAATCTACGACTGTTTGTGGGACATTGCTGTGCGCAATTGGCTGCCGCGTTCGCCCACAAATATACAGTCAATTCACTTTACAGTGTGTTCTGTGAAGCGCTTTGGGACGTCCTCCCGACGTGAAAAGCGCTATATCAAATGCAAGGATTATTATTATATCCGCGCCACAACTGGCACCGCCTTCCATCACCTCCGGAATATCGCCAGACTACGGCACTACCTCACCCCTCACGCTGCTGAAACTCTGGTCCACGCCTTTATCACCTCAAGGCTGGACTATGGGAACTCTCTCCTCGCCGGCCTTCCCGGCACCTCCCTCCACAAGCTGCAGGTCATTCAGAACTCTGCAGCTCGTGTACTGTCCCGCACCAGGCTTCGGGACCACATCACTCCCACCCTCGCTCGCCTCCACTGGCTCTCCATCCCCCAGAGGATCGATTTCAAGATCCTCATCCTCACCTACAAGGCCATTCACGGCCTTGCTCCCTCCTACCTCTCTGACCTACTATCCCCCTACCTACCTGCCCGTACCCTCCGTTCCTCTGGCTCCGGTCTGCTCCACATCCCCCGCCCCAACCGCCCTACTATCGGTGGCCGGGCCCTCAGCCTCTCAGCCCATAGGCTCTGGAACTCCATCCCCCAGTGCCTTCGCTGCTTCCTCCCTTTCCTCCTTCAAGGTCGGTCTCAAGACCTTTCTCTTTGACCATGCCTTCAGCTCCCCTCTCGACTCTCTACCCCCTCCTCGCTCCCTCCTTTCCCTCCCCTCACCCTGACCATTTCCCCCTTGCTTGAGTCCTGACCCAACTGTACAGCGCCTTGGGACGTCTTCCCGACGTGAAAGGCGCTCTATAAATGGAATCTTGTTGCTGTTGTAAATCCTGGCTCTCACATTCAGTTTTCCCTCAGCTGTGCAACATTATTCACCTACAGCAATATTTCTCCCTCTGGGCTCCTGAGAACCCCATCCATGTGTTCATCATGGCCAAACCTGATTACTTCAATGCCCTCCTTGCTGGACTCCTTAGTTCCTCCCCACACAAGCTGCAGAGCATCCAGAACTCTACAGTCCAGGATCTGCTAGCCTGTAACCTCATCTTCACTCAGATTCAGGGACCCCTCTCACCCCCCAGATCTTTGTTTTACTTTCAAATCCCTCCATGGTCTCAGTGTCTTCTGTAACCCGACTGCTTTGAGATGTCCTCCCAACATGTAAAGCGCTAAATAAATATAAGTTGTTCTCAGCAGATGGGTGACCATCAAACTTTTTTTTTAGAATCGAAAAGGGGGATAGATATCCAGTCAGTTGAAGTTTCCTTGTGAGCTTTATGTTTGAGGTTTGGGAGTTTTATCAATGCCATTTCTCCAACAATGTGGCACAGATAAATTGCTTCTATTGGTTCAGGTGGGACAGAGCATTGGTGTACCAACCTGCTTTCCAAGTAGCAGGACATTACCTTACATTCTCAAGGTATGAACACTGCGTAACACAAGTTTGGATGGAGTTTGCCTTCAATCAGTCAGCAGAATGAGATCTGAAGATAAAATAACACAATAGACTTTTGTTCGTATATTTTTTACAATGAAATCTGGATTGCAATGCATTTCTCTTGGTGCGTTAGTTAGCAGGCTAGAGTAATTCATTACAGCATACTGTAAGAGACTAACTGAATATTAATCAAGTAAGTTAACAGCCGTACTGGGAAAGAGAAACCTAATTTAACTGTCATAACGAGACTGCATTGGTCATAGTGTGGTCATGGCTTATATGAAAATCATGTGAAGCCTCGTGGAAATAAGCTAGTTTAAGTGTGGTAATTGTATGAAAAACGCAATAGAACTCCTTCCTGAAATGAACAGATGGTAGTTCCCCAAACTCTTATCAGGAAGTAAAGCTTTATAAGTCTTAATATGGACAGACTTTGTCATATCAGTTTTCAGCCTGACTCAGTTGGTAGTTCTCCCACCTCTGAGTCTGAAGGTTGTGGGTTCCAGACCCACATTGGGACCTTGAACTCAATTCTAGGCTGATTTTTGTGGGTCAGCCAGGTGTCTGACACACACATGGAAACCCATCACCCTGCTAGTATCCAAACCAAACTGATAATTCTATGCATCCCACCTACAAATGGAAATTCCGGAGTAAGAACTCTAATGCAGTGCTTGAAGAGTGCAACATTTTCAGAGATCCTGTCCTTCATATTGGCTACATATTTACGTTAAACTCCACTGTTTCGGTGAACACTAAAAATCCCATGGCACTATTTGAAAAGAGAAGGGTGTTTCTTCCAGTGACCTGGCCAACAATCCCCCAGATCAATTCACTTCCTGGCTGTTTATGGGACATTACTGTGAGCAAATTGGTATTTTTGCCTACAAGTAGTCACTAGACTCTACAGAAAAATAGTGTTTGAGACGTTTTGATGTGCCAAGGTACTATATCAAATAAGATAGACGCAAAATGAGTTGCTTATCTTACAGGGGTCTACTTTCGTATACAACTGAAAGTCAGTACTTTGATGTGTGGTCGGGGAAGGGAGGGGAGTGGGGTGGGTAGGGCTAGGACTGATCTTTGATGTGGAGTTACTGTAAATGTGTAATCAATATCAGCAAGGGGAAAACTTCTTGCGACGGGGTTTATTTTAAGTTGCAAGTTTGTGATTTACAGTAAGGAACTGTACTTTCCATTAGAAATGCTGTAAAATAATAGGTTTGTTTCTGAATAGAGCCTCTAATTGTGGACGTGGTCAATCATTTCCTTACTTGAACTTCCAGGGGATGCTTTTGATGGTTGCATTTTTTTACAATCAGCGATAAACAGTGGTTTAAGTTTGGCCCAAAGGGGCAAGTGCTGACATCAGCATAATGGGCCTGCCAGTGATGAAAGGTTGAAACTTGAATGTCCTAGTCGGACGTTATGGAAACGTTTTTAAAATAACATTGCCAACATTGCCAGGTGTCGAGCTTTCGATGTTTCACCAAACCCACAGAGTCTTTGGAAAGATCTCTTGAGATCAGTCGACATAAGGGAAAAAAGAAACTGCAGAAAAGGGCAAGCAAGGTTAAACTCATTAAAAAAAATTCAGTGATTTTTGCAGCCAAATGTCCAGAAAACTCCACTGGGAGTTGCTAGTTTCCAGCGGTGTGCTGCATTGTCTGAGGTGTCACAGCTGTGAGCTAGTAAGTAATTCATTGGAAATCACTGTGCAGGAATTAGATCAACAAATAGCGACCTAATCCTGGAGGCAATTTCTGTATGGCCAGGAGGCGGGGATGTTCCAAGTTTTGTTCCAATGTCCAAATATTCCATATTTTTTGAAATATGGTCAAAAAATTATTTGTCATTGGAGATTGAATTAGGAAGCACATCTTAACTATGTATTGAAATTAGTAAGCAGTTCACATAGGAGTGGAAAAACCCTGTAAGCCCATCACCCCAGTCCGAGCCAGATTCCTTGTCTCTCAGCAGATCGATTTCTCAAGGACTTCACTCTCACTTACAAATCACCTCACACTCTGGAACTTCCCTATCTCTCCGACTTCCTCCAACAGATAACTTGGCCTTGATGCATATCCTCTGCTTTATCCATACCACCATCGCTGCCCGAGCTTTCCAATTCTTCAACCCGAACCTCTGGAACTTCTTCCCTCAACTAATCGGTCTTGCATCCTCTGTCTGCACATTGTTAATAATAATAATAATCCTTGCATTTGATATAGCGCATTTCACGTCTTCAAGACGTCTCAAAGCGTTTCACAGAATAGACTAAAGTAAATTGACTTTATTTTTTGTGGGTGAAATGCGGAAGCCAATTGCACACAGCAGTGTCCCACAAACAGTCGTGGTTTGAAGTGACCAATTTATTTATTTTTTCTTGAGGGATTATTATCAGGCATATGGAGTAAGGAAACTTGCCCAAGGTTTCATCCTGACTGGGAATTGAACCCAGGTCTTGCATGCAAAGCGAATACTCTAACCACTGAGCTGCAGGACTCCACGAACCACTTCCAAGACCTTGTTCTGTGTAAATAAATGCAAGTTGTTGTAAATAGGGTGGATGTTAGCAACTGTTTGTTTAGTCCAACATTTCTTGTGTTCAAAATTCTTTTGAATTTTATTCTGTGGATTGAATTTTGACCTTGGTTTTGTTTTGGCCAGGTGTCGAGCTTACGATGTTTCACCAAACCCACGGAGTCTCTGGAAAGATCTCTTGAGATTAGTCGACATAAGGGAAAAAAGAAACTGCAGAAAAGGCCAAATTATAAAAATGTGGGGGAAGAGGATGAAGAGGAGAAGGGTACAGAGGAGAAGGAGGATGACGCCGAAAAGGTCAAAGGTACAGAGTCTAGTATGAAAGGCATCAAGACGAGTGGGGAGACTGAAGGTGAGTGCTGTCACAACCAATTGTCACAATTGGTCATCCCCCTCACTTCCCTACAGTCCAGTGATCATTCAGGGCCTCTATCCTATTAATGCCACAGCATTTTCTGGAGAAAGGTTTATGAAGAATGTAGGAGGATCATTTAATGTTTAATCTGTGTATTGTAACATTGTGCATTTCTGCATTGCATCACAAGTGGCCAAGCATAAAAATTACGGACCAATTTTATTTGAAGTAACATGTTTCAAGCAAATCTATATTTATTAAGGGTAGCACCCTTAATGCTGGGACGATGTCCCCAAGGTGCTGACAGTCCAGGATTTGCACCCAAGCTGGGAGTTGGTATTCAGGGTGTGTGTGTGGCCCAAAACAATAAGAATGGGGAAACTTTAGTTCATATGCAAAGTGCTCCAGTATTATATGCTCTTTGGTGGTTCATTAGTGACATAGGGCTATAAATAGATTAGCTTTTTGTTGGTACACGGGGAAATCTAAGGAAGGAAATAATGCTACCAATTGAGGGAAGCCTAATTGAGATCCATGGTTAATTAGAGGTAGATTATATTGCCCTGGTTTGCTCTAAGATGCTGAGCTCTGAAATCTCTGATAATATTAGCTATAAGACTATTGTCTTAATTTAAGAATGTGCAAAGTTTGGGAAAATTCTTGAAGATTATTTTTAGTTTAATAGTAATAATAATAATAATCCTTGCATTTGATATAGCGCTTTTCACGTCTTCTAGACGTCCCAAAGCGCTTCACAGAATATACTGTAAAGTGAATTGACTGTATATTTGTGGGCGAATGCGGCAGCCAATTGCGCACAGCAATGTCCCACAAACAGTTGTGGATTGAAAATGACCAATTTATTGTTTTTTTGTTTTTTGGAGGGATTATTATCAGGCGTGTGGAGTAAGGAAACTTGGCCAAGGTTTCGCCCTGCCTGGAATTTAACTCAGTAGGCTGATGCAGCTGCAAATATGCTGCTGTATGTTATGCAGGGACTTTTGGTCCTCCCAACATTTTAATGCCCCTCCCCTGCCTTTAGTAAGAAATGTTGTTAAGCTTTTCCAAGTAAATTACATGTTATCTCAGGCCCAATGCATATTCATATTAAGAAAATGATGAAAATTTCAAAAATGCACTTGCATGTAGATGGATATCCTCCTACATCGTTGTAAACACTTTAAAACACTGTGACTAAATTTACCTTTAAAGCACCATGGTACTGATCTCGCCCTATAAGCCTCAGTTTTGTTTGCGAGTTTCCTAAGTTATTCTAAATAAATGGATTAAATCATAGATAAATACATATACATTGTTATAAATGTATTAAATAGTGCTGATGTATTTTGATATACATGTGGTTGATTCAGTTTACAAAGTCAATTGTTGCTGAAATAGAGTATGTACACTTGGCAAAGGGCAAGATCAGTTTAAATTTCATACCATGTTCTTTTTAAAGGAATTGTGGATGTTTACTCTGAACTATGCTTTCCTTTTTCTTTTGCAAATGCACTAATTCGGGGCAGAGGCTAACATTTCCTAGCTGACGCTCAATGCTTTTGTTATCGCTTTGAAACTTATCTCATTAAACAGGTTTACTAAGAACAGTTTTATATTATAGCTTCAAACTTTATCCTAAGTTTTTTTCCTTTTCTTCTGTAATCTCACTAAATTTCAAACTATGAAATTATTGTGTTTCTAGCTGTTCTATGTTGCAGTGAATTTTGAGATACCTGTTATAAAATTCACAGAACACAACCACATTTAATACTGAGGGCGAACTATCTTGAAAGTGTGATTTCAATTAACTTCTGGATTGTATTTGTTGGATTGTTTAATCGGGTCATTTTATCTTCCTGTGAAAGAATTCCATCACTTTACTTAAGTGAAATGGTTTGTGTACATAGGAACAAAGGAGATTAGTTCTCTGCTTTTTGACCGTGCCCTCAGCCGCCCTCCTACCTGTCTGTGCTCCCTGATCTTAACCCTGACCCCCCCCACCAATGCTAGGGTCCTGATCCCCGACTGCTCAACGCCTTGAGACGTCTTCCTGATGTGAAAGTTTTTGTAATGTAATGTTTTTGGCAGTAAGTTTACCAGTCTTTAAGGGTTTTTCTCACTCTCCATAAACACACACTGGTACTCAGTAATTCACTAACTGGGAAGAATAGCCACTAAATGTTTCAACATTGTTCTATAGAAATTTATAGTATGAAAGGCCACTTGGCCCATCATACCTTTGAATGGCTCTTTAAAAGAGCAATCTGTTCATAACCATTAACCTGCCTTTTCCTCATACTCCTGCAAATTATTCCTATTTAAATATTTATCTAGATCTTTCTTAAAAGCTAATCCGTACCCTGCCTTGACCACCTCAACAACCAGCAGGGATTTACACATCCAAACAGCTCACTGTATTTTTAGAGAAAAAGATTCTAATTGTTTCCTTTTGTTCTCTTTCTAACCATCTTAAATTAATACCCTCTTGTCATTGACTCACTGACCGATGGAAATACATTTTCCTCTCAACTCTATCAAAACCCTTCATTTTTAAGATCTCTATCAGGTCTAGCCACAATTTGTTCTGTTCCAATGAACAGAGAAAATTGAGGTTGAGACTTGATGCTTGGTAAGAGACCTGATATTTGGCAGTAAGTTTATCAAGCTTTAGCAGTGCGGAGTGTAAAAAGGCCTTTATCTCACTTCTTTATGTGACATGCGCTGGTAGGTTATTGTAACGATATCACCTCACTTTCCTGTTTATTGTAGCTTCTTGTGGGGATAGCAGGCGAGAAACTTGCAACGGTTTCTGCCCCTTTGTCCTTTTTTTGGATGGGGGAGGGGAAATATTGTTTTTTTATGTTTTTACCTTGAATTCAATCTAATAATGTATTCTAATATAGGAAGTGAATTTAGTTTAAATTGTCTGACTTGTTTCAGTTGTCTGAAAGCATGACTTTGCTGCTACTTCCCCTCTTGCTTCGTCTTCGAAAGGAAAGGAAAAATTTTCTTAACTGTCATTGGAATAATGTAAATGTCTCAATATTCAGATTCCAGAATATGACGTGATCTAATTCCATTCTGGTTGATGGGAATAAAGGAATAAACCAAGGTATTAAAAGAGAGGAAGGGGGAAGAGATTCACAGCCAAGCCTGACAAGAGTCCAGAGCAGAAACTCTACCCTAAATGCTCTGCTTCATATGTAGAGCTTGTGGTGCAGAGGCAAATTGCAAATTTTCCCCTGTCTGAAATAAGGGGAATTCGTAAAGTTAGCATTTGAATCTACAATCTTTAAAATTGTATATGTTCCAGAATGGCTATTATCCTCAAGAGGTTAAAACTTGTTAAGTAACTTTTTTTAAAAAAAACTTAGACATCAACAGTTGAAGCGCATTTTGTTTTTTTTCACAAAGTCGACAAAAGTTATTTTGTAGAATTTTAAGGATCCTAACCAAAACTTGCTTCTGCACTAATCAAATTTCTGCAATAATATACTGTGCATGTAACATTAATTGGAGTAAAACCTGTTGTGAATGATTTATTACAATTGCCTAATTTCTTTCTTAGCAAAAGCCTGATGTCTGACACCGATTTTAAACTATTTGCAGTTGGACTTCCTCAATTACCTGACCAGCTAAGCCAAAAATTCGTCCTGGTACCAGGGGGTCAAAATCCTGTACACTGTATTTAGAAGCAAATTGCATTCTCCAAAATGTTGACGTGGAAATTTACAGCACACAAGAAAGCCATTTGGCCCAGTGTATCTACTCTTTCACTGAGCACATCTTAAATCAGCTCAAAAAGATGCCAAAAATAAAATTGTAATTTTTATTGTTCTAATGTACACAAAGTAGATTACGTGGGCAAGGCATGAATTAAAATGAATGAACACGAAAGAACATCTAAACAAGAAATTATTCATCCAGATTGTATGGAGAGGACCAGAAACTTACACAACTAATTTTAAAAAGCCTTGAATCATGTGCACTGACAATGTAACACAAAACGTATGATATTTACTGCTGCATCATGCGCATTGAACATGGGACACAATACATATGAGTTGCTATCCCAAAAATATATTTGTTCATCAATCTATGTATGAGACTTAATTTCACCAGGACATCATTAGGTTAATTGTATTTCCGTTGCAATAAGATGCTGAATTACCACTAGTCTGCCTTTTTATTAAAAAAAAGCAGAATAAGCCAAGTTGATTGTAACATAGAATTTGCTTTATATATATATATATAAAAAAAACTAGGGCATGTCCTGAGCAGTCGTACAGTATTTCAGATGAGTAAACATTTTCATGCTTTCAAAAAAAGATTTTGACCCTCGTGTCAAATTCACATTTGAGGTTTACACTTCTTTGATGTGCTGAGCAGTTTTAGGCTATTTGATATTTTAATTACACAGCCAGGTCTTACCATAACTAATTATTTTTTTCTATCTCAATGCTTTTTTACTGATGTGATTCTCTAAGAACTTCTAACAATAACTGATTCATGATCTATGATGCTGTGATGTTTTCTGGATTTCTAGGGTAGTGGGGGATTTCAATCCCAATTTGTGCAATGGTTTTGAGAACAAAACTAGCTGCATCACATCTTCAGACTCTTCTGTGAAATGTATTTATTCCTTCGAGGATAGTTGTCATTGTCAAATACGGGAGGGGAAAATATCTTCCCTTTAACTTTATTTTGCTCAATTTATTACTAGAATTGGTTCAGAGATAATTCTGTGCATCTGAAGTGCAGCATTCGTGCATTAATCCACAATGGATTTCACAAATTGTACAATTTGTTATTGAATACGGTAAACAATATTAATGACAACTTATGTTTGAAGGAAATATTTTTGGAGGCATTCATTAATTCCTTATTTATTCTACAGGGGCTGGTTAAGGGAACATTCTGTTAGCCACATTAATCTTTTCCATTAAGACTATTTTATCTCCTGCCCCCACCCCCACTCCTATCTAATCTGTGCATCTCTCAATCTCCCAATGGGATGTCAAGAATGCAAATTTCCTACAAAACTGCTGATATTTTAACCTAGTTGGTACCGTTCAAGTCGGTAACTGAGGAATTGTGTGTAAAACCTGCATCCTTCCTCTGTGATACAGTGCATTAGATCAATCCACTCTCCTGCCCAGGAGTTTACAACTAAGAAATCAATGGTTTTATAATGTAACATAGCTATTTTTTGTAGCCATTGGTTATGATGACCAGATGTGGTCAAGATTGAAAATTACCTCCTGCCTTGCAAATGTCAATTTTATTTTTGTCACAAGATGTTTGGGAGATGCTCAGGAACTTTGAATATGAAGGAATATGATCATTTCAGTGGGTTAAAACCATCTCCTTTCCTTCTGTACATCAAACTGAGAGATGCTTGTGCTGTAGTGCACACCTTGGGGCCAACAATGAGCCTTATTATTGCTCAGGAAAAAGACAGAAGCAAAGTGAAACTCCTTTTACTCTATAATATGTCTTAATTCACCCTCAGGAAAGCATCTCCTGTTGCCCAATCTTTATTTTCTCCATCAACCAATCTTATGGCCTCTCATATGAGGCTTCCCAATTTTATTTAAAATTATAGGTGCTTTTTTTTTACCATAAAGCCGACTGGTACTTATTATGACCTAAGAGGAGACTGCTAAAAGCACATATCTGTTCACACCAAAACAATCCAAGGACCATGACATGCAAAAAAAAAACTCAGCCAACCCTTAGTAATGGTCTGGGTGTTCTAATTCCTCAGCTCGGTGGGCTCCCAGCACTCCAGGGCACGGATACTAACAGACCAGGCAGCCTGGCTCATCAGCAGTGCTGGCTGGTCCATCAGCAGTGCCCCGGAGTACTGGTGACAGAGATCTTACCCACTCAGCGCTTGTTAAGCCTTCCAGCCAAAGCCCTAATGGTGCACCCAAGGGGGCAAGCAGCAAAATGTTTCTCAAACAGTGCTATTAAAGGCAAACTTCAGGTTTAACTGGTTAAACTCCAGGGATGCCTCTATTCTGGTGAAAACTAGAAAAGGTAAGCATAATCAAATAAAATCTGAGGTATTTATGTTCGTAACTGGGACTCTTGATCCAAATCAATCGACTTTGTTAGTTAAAAATACAGTGTGTTTTGTTTTAAGAAATTGAAATGGTTATTATGGAGAGATGCAAGATCATAGATCCCCCGCTTTCATGCTTGACTGAACAAAACACCACTGACGAAGAAAAGACGGCTGCTGCTGCTGCCAAGATAGACAGCCGAAAAAACAGGTACGTTTGTTATTTGTGAAGTTGAGAATCCTGAAGAATGTTGGGAAAAGGTGCAAATCATTGGATTCTAGGCACATCAAAGAGAAATGAGACAAATGTTCTCTTAACTGGTGAAAAATAGCAATTTGTTCACTGTCTTCATAAAAGGATTCTCTGTTGTAAATATTTAGCGGAAAGGAAGGCTGTTTTTAGTGTCTGTCGGCTCTATTGTAATTTCTTTGGGAGATTGGCTTTTTTAAAAATATGTTTAAAATATATCAAAATTAATCACTTTTTATGTCAAATGCAACTTTATGTCAAATGCAATTTGAAGATGCATTTGATGTCTCAGAAATATTGTACTTCATTGTAATAATCCGCGTTTGATATAGTCTTATTGCGTCAATATCTCAAAGAGCTACTCAAAAGAGTTTTTTGAAGGAGCAGCTATATTTGGTCAATGAACTTGGCAGCCATGTTGCACAAGCAGTATCCCACCATCAGTCATGAAGTTATTTTTTATCTGAGGGATTGTTAGCCAAGGCATTAGAAAAGCTTTGTTTTTTTGTATCGCTATGGGATCTTAATGTTCGAAAGATCAGGCAGACAGGACCTTGGTTTAACGTTTCATCCGAAGAATGGCATCTCCGACAATCCAGTACTCCCCCATCACTGTATTGGAGAATCAGCATAGACTATGACCACAAAGTTCCATTGGATGTTTTACCCCAAAACCTTCTGATTCAGAAGCAAGAGTGCTATTAACTGAGCCAATCTGACAACTTCTGTATTTGGCAGTTGTTTAAGCTCTGTGTCTATGATCTGAGGACAGTTCTGGGAATTTGTTGCTTCTCCATTTTCATAAAACCATAGCAATATGTGAAAACCTAAAAATCATGCTTTTCACTCGGGTGTTTGCTCTTCCAAGAAACAATCAACCTCCACCCAATTATTTGCTCTTATTTCCTGATTCTTTACCCATATCTTGTAACGCTCTTCTGCATCCGTTTGTCTAAAACACTTCCCATTGACTGCTGTAACAGCTACCCCTAGCAAACCAGTTTACCATCTGTGTTTATTTAATCCCTTCCCCTACCCAACATATTAGCTAGGAATATTGCATTTAGATTATTTGGTAGTATACTACATTCCTGTTTGTAAATGTTCTGCTTACAGCTGACCTAGCTAAAGGTCACAGAAGATTTCAAATTGAACTTATTTATGACTTCATAAAATTTACTCTTTTAGCAGCTTTTACATTGGGAGGATGTCCCAAAACACTTAAATTCCAAGTTCATTGCACTGTATATTAAAAATGGTCTTATAGCAGTAATCATTAACTATATGATTTATCAATTTTTCTTTTTTTATGCTAACTTCGCAGGCCCTTTCTCGATATGGTGTACAATGCACTGAACTGCACTGAAGAGGATTATTATACACTGTTTGTTTTGTGTCTTCTTTTCGCATTGTCTCACAACAAAGGTTAGTCTTGGTTTATCATTAAATTGAGAAAATGTGCTTCTCGTTTGCTCTGGGTTGCTGCTCAGGAGACGGCATTTCCATGTGCAGTTCTGTCTATGTGATTGTTTATTTCCTGCTGCTCCAAAACCCTTGTAATTGGCTGCTGGATATTTGCACAGTGACAAGGCAGGCAGGGTGCTGAATGAGGAGGAGGTGACCATAAGCACGGTCAAAGAGTTAGAAGGTTTAAAGATAGATAAAGGTGAGGCAGATGGATTGAGGCAGGGAGTTCCAGAGGTTAGGGGCACAGTGGCTGAAGGCACGGTCACCAATGGGAGGGCGGAGGAGTCAAGGATCAGGCTTGTGTGAGAGTGAAGGGGATGGGCAGAGGAGTGGGGTATGAGCAGGTCAGAGAGATAATTAGTGAAAACATTGCACTGTATATGAATTTGCTGTAGAGCATCAAAGTGAACTTACATCACAAATATCAATGTTGCTGCTTAAAGTGTTGATAAATAATTCTTTTTACTCTTGTATTTATTCATTATACTTACACATTTATACTTTTGTTGGATATTGTTTTGTGATACTGCTCATCACAATCTTATTTTACTCTGACTTGTCATGCAGAGCTTAGTGGATTTTGCTTACACTGTGCTCATTTCCAACAGTTCACAATGTGTAAATAACCCAGGAACTATCTCAATATGTTGGAGTTGGGGTAGTTTTAATTCAGCTTCTTCCCAATATTTAGTGTCTTAGTCTAGTCTTGTTGTCCTCCGCTATTCTTTTAAAAGCCTTCTTCTGACTGGAGGCAAATGTGCAGTGGTATCCCCCAGGGGTTGGAATTGGGACCACTGCTCTTTTTGATCTATATAAGTGACCGGGACCTAGGTATAGGGTGTACAGATTCCAAGTTTGCAGATGATACTAAGCTAGGAAAAGTAGTAAAAGATGAGGAGGATAGTAGCAGATTGCAAGAGGACATAGACAGACTGGTAAAATGGGCAGACATGGGGCAGATGAAGTTTAATGTGGAGAAATGCAATGTGATGCATTTTGGGAGGAAGAATGAGCAGAGGCAATATAAGCTGATGGTACAATCTTAAAGGGGATGAAAGAACAGAGTGACTGGGGGTTCGTATAAGTAAATCTTTGAAGGTGGCAGGACAGGGAGATAAAGCTGTTAAAAAAGCATTCGGGATCCTCGGCTTTATAAATAGAGGCATAGAATACAAAAGTCAGGAAGTTATGATGAACCTTTATCAAACACTGATTAGGCCTCAGCGAGATACTTCGTTCAGTTCTGGGCACCACACTTATGGAAGGATGTCAAGGCATTGGAGAGGGTGCAAAGGAAATTTATCAGGATGGTACCAGGAATGAGGGACTTCAGTTATGAGGAGAGGCGAGAGAAGCTGGGATTATTCTCCAAGGTTAAGAGGAGATTTAACAGAAGTTTTCAAAATTATGAGGGGATTCCATAGGGTGAACAAGGACAAACTATTCCCACTGGCGGGTGGGTCGGTAACCTGAGGCCACCGATTTAAAGTAGTTGTTAAAAGAAACAGGAGGGGATGAGAAATTTTTTCACATGGCGAGTTGTTCAGATCTGGAATGCATTGCCTGAAAGGGTGGTGGAAGCCGATTGGATAGTAAGTTTTAAGAGAGGAGTAGCCAATTATTTGGGGAGGACAAGTTTGCAGCACTATGGGGAGAGAGCGGGGGAGTGGGATTGAATTGGATAGCTCTTTTCAAAGAGCCAGCACAGACACAATGGGCTGAATGGCCTCCTTCTGGCTTCCCATCACACAGAGGATACAGTTCAAGATCCTGGTCCTCACCTTCAAAGCACTCTCCATGGTCTTGCTCCCTCCTGTCTCTCCGACCTCCTAACCCCCTACCACTCTGTTCGTTCCATCCGCTCAGCGGGCTCCAGCCTACTTCACGTCCCTGCCTTGCTCGCCACACTATCGGCGGGTGGGCCTTCCGCCACTCTGCACCCACCCTCTGGAACTCCGTTCCGCAATCCCTCCGACTCGCCCCCTCCCTTGCCACCTTCAAGACCCACCTCAAGACACTCCTCTTCGACCGTACGTCCGATCTCCCTGCTTCCCCCCCTCCCTCTACCCTCTCCCACCCTGACCCCCAGCTCGGGTCCGTAACTCTGTCTGTCCAGTGCCTAGGGACGTCCTCCTGACATGAAAGGCGCTGTACAAATACAATTTTGTTGTTGTTGTTGTTCTGTGCTGCATAATTCTATGTTTCTATGATTCTGCCCCACCTATTCTAGATGTGACACCTGAAACGATCACCTATTGGTTTAAGACTAATTGACTAGTTACTCTAGTTTTCCAGCATTTTTTATTCTAATTTCAGATTTCCATCATCTGCAGTTTGTCTTTTTATCTCATTTCTTTTCTATTGCTTATCACCAGCATAGTCTGCGTCTGGACCAAAGAAACCCATAGCTTTCTGATTAATCAGCACTTCTGTATGACATCCTTCCTGTTAGATTTCTCAAAACTCTTAGTCAGTTTTATAACTCGAATTCTCAGCTTGCTGTCATTCACAGGAAATTAGGAAAATGGATGAATTTTTCCTTTGTGTGTCATCTGGCTTCTCTCTGACTCAGTCTAAGTGGATGCTTCAACTCCCTGCTTGGGGATGTGCTGCATTTGGGGAGGACAAGGCTATGGGGAGAGAGCGGGGGAGTGGGATTGATTTGGATAGCTCTTTTCAAAGAGCCGGCACAGACACAATGGTCGAATGGCCTCCTTCCATAACTCTATGATTCTATGATTTTGGAGGTGCATCCTTCAGATAAAAACATTAAACCGAGATCCAATTTTCCTGTTTAGGGGGATGTAAAGAGAAGGGAATTTCTCCCAAGTGTTCTGGCCAACAAATAGGAAATAGGAATTTCTCCTAGTGTTCTGGCCCTCAAATAAAATTCACTCACTTCATGGCTGTTTGTGAGATATTGCTTTGCGTTCAGCAGCAACAGACCTGCTTCACAACCTCTACCCTGTCCATTGGCGGTTGGGTTTTCAGCCTAACTGCCCCACTCTCTGGAACTCCGTCCTGACTTCCCTCAAGATCCATCTCTTATCACCAGCATAATCTGTCTGGACCAGAGAAAGCCTTAGTCTCTTGTTTAGTCAGCACTTCTATGTGATATCCTTTCTGTTACATTTCTCAAAACTCTTAGCTTTATAACTATAACTTTGTGTCAAAATTAGGAAAGTGGAACAGGATGGTACACTTTGGGCCTTTGGTCATCTTGGCCCGCAGCTCGGGTCCAAACCTCTCACGTCCTCCCAATGTGAAAGGCACAATATAAATTAAATTTGTTGTTGTGCGCAAATTGCTGCTGCGTTCCCCTAAAACTACTCAGTCACTGCACTTCAGTAAAATTCTGATGAACCCCATAAGCTATCTCGATAACATGTTAAAAGACACTATATCAAATGCAAAGATTTTTATATAATTTCAACCATCTGATTTTTTTCCCCCCTTTCCTACAGTCTCTATAGTTTCAACAGAAAACAAAGTTATAGGGCTCAATAAATTGCAGTTACTTTAGTTAATCATAGAAACAGGAGTTGGCCATTCGGCCCCCGAGCCTGTTCCGCCATTCTATAAGATCATGTCTGATCTGTACCTCAACTTCAGTTACCGGCCCTTCCCGTATCCTTGATACCCTGACCTAACAAATATCTATCCACCTCAGTCTTGAAAATGTGAATGAATCCAGCACCCACCGTCTTTTGGAGGAGGAAGTTCCAGATTTCCACTGCCCTTTGGGTAAAAAACAGCCTACTGATTTCACTCCTAGCTCTAATTTTAAGACTATGTCCCCAAGTTCTGAATTCCCCCACCAGAGGAAATAGTATTTCTGTATCTACCCTATCAAATCCGTTTATTATTTTAAACACCTCAATTAGATCACCCCTCAGCCTTCTAAACTCAAGGGAATAGTGACCAACTTTATGCACCGTGTCCTCATAATTTAACCCTTTAAGCCCTGGAATCATTCTGGTGAATCTGTGCTGCACCCTTCCAGAGCTAATATATCCTTCCTAAGGTGCAGCGCAGTACTCAGATGGTATCTGGAGATGTCTCGAAAAATCAAGATGTTTTAAAAGACAAAATATTAATTTATTGCTTTTCATTTTTGCCTGTCCTGAAATGAGCTGGTTTAAGATTGAGTGCCCGTTGTCTTACCTAACTGGTTGTTTTTCGCAACTGATTGCAGATCCTGTATGGTGGACTATGTCTCATACTAATTATGGGGAAGCCTTTGTGAAGTCCATTCCCCCCCCCCCCCCCCCCCCCCCAAGAACTTCGGTATAGAGCCATACAACACAGAAGGCCTTTCAATGGCCATTGTGTTGGCTCTTTTGAAAGAGCAAAATAGTATAAAATTGTCCATTTACCCAGTCCACTGGACAAGGTCATTTGCTGTAGACTTGGATGACTGTGATTTCCTAATTGGGTGCAGGTCAAACTGTTGAGATTTGATTCTGGGTAAATACTTTTTTAGAGACCTAAGTGCAATCTACAAGGTTTCTAAAAGCTTTTGGAATCCCCCCTCAGGCTAGTGTATGATTTAGCACACTGTTTTATGAGATTAGCAGATCTTCTTTCACTCCTTTATTTAAAAGTTCTAATCAAGCCCAACCAATTGTTGATCACAAGTTTCGTCAATCTTTCATTCTGAAGGAAAAGTTGAAAACGACAAGACTATGGATAATTTTGTGCAGCAGGCGACTGCTGGCCTCATGAATGCATACTTTCACACTGGGATTTCAGAACCACATGAAACACTTGAGGTTAAATATGAGTCCTTTCATAATGCAAGGCTCTTTTATTAGCCTTCGCATCAGAATCAGTATTGTTTAAGATATGCTGCAATATGAGCCAGCATTTTGTAGTTTACCTGTTTTGTTTGCCTCCGAAGTCTAGTTATTATAATCAAAAAGGTTTGAGTCAACATGATGAGACTTCCTTGACAATTGAGAAGATTTCCAGTTACAACTACATTCCTATGTATCAACTTGTTCTGACTACACTTTTTACTGTTGAATAATTTTAAGGTCATTTAGCTTCAGTGCTTGTTATCTAGGTTTCAGGCATGACTACACTGCTTATGCCTGGGGTTGCCTTTTCACAATATCGAGCAGCAGGATTCTCATCAGTCCATTGCAAATAAATGTTTACCTCATAATCCATGAAATGCTATGAGTGATTCCTGTATTAGATTAACTAAAACACAGTTGACCTTGGAATGGTGTGTTTCATTAGATTGCAGTCACTGCTTTTGTCTCATTTTAGTTAGAAACCTTATGTGTTGAATGCATATCAAGGAACATTAACCCAAATATTCTTTCCTCACCACCAATTAGTGTGTCCTAACCTGCTATTCAAAGAACAGATGATCATTAAACAGGATTTTGAGCAGAATGTTTTGTAGTGATTTACACAGATGTCATATTGCTTGCCCTTTTTTGATCAGCCAGGTGTCTGACACATGCAGAACCCCATCACCATGCTTAAGAGTATCCAAATCAAACTGAGAATTTCATGCATCCCATCTACTAATGGAAATTATCCTTTAGGGTCACATCCTGCCTACCTAATTCCAGAAAGTACTAGGCACAGGTTGGCAAGAGCCAAGGCTTGGGGTCCCCAGAGTGTGCGTTGGGGTAACTGCTGGAGTCTAACCAGCTAAACCCACAGAGCTCGTCATTGAGAGCACTGTCTGTAAACGTTCCCACTGCTTGTCCATCCAGAACCACCCTACCCTTTGGAACTTTGGCTTGCAAAGTTAACAGGAGCAGAGCATAAACAATCACTGCCCCCAGGGGCTGGCTGGGTGGTCTGTGATCAGCAGTGCTCTGGAGTACTGAGGACCTGCTTGGCTCAGGAACTGAACTACCAAGACTGCCAGAGAGGGTGGACTTGATTCTGACATTCCGTTGCCAAACACATCACATTGGAGTTAATACAGCTCCAAGGAGACCCTGTTTATCTTCTCCCCCGCAGGAGGATTGTTTGCCTCTATAAGAAAAGGTGCTCCAGAATTACCTTTGGTGTTTTGCAGAGTGCTATTTTAGATTCAACTTTACCTCCAAATAGCCCTCCATTTCGAAATATCGCAATGTCATTTTTGAAGGAAGCGTCCTGATTTTTTTTAAAACAAATTCTATGAGGTGCTTTGAGGGATTCTCCTGACGTGAAAGTTACTGTACCAAATGCAAGGATTATTATTATTGCATCTTATAACCTAAGAAATGCTTCATTTGCTTTAATAATAATGATGGAAAACTAGTTTATTTTTAAATCTTGACGCAAATCTCATTTTTCAGGTATAGACTCAGCTCTGTTAGAAAAGGTCCACGTTCCTTCGACGCAAGCTGAGGAGAAGAACACATATAGCCATATACTAGCAGAAAGACTGATCAGAATAATGAACCAATCATCACAGCCAGGTGAGATTTGTTCCCACGTTTATCATTAGCTTCTGTAAGCATCTCTATCTGCCATGTCAAACTAAGTGAAAAGTATGTCCGAATGACCCTTCAACAACAACAAAATTACATTTGTAAAGCGACTTTCACGTCGGGCGGATATCCAAAGGTGCTGAACAGTCAGGGATCAGTACCCTAATACAGTATTTAAATAACTGGTGCTCAGGAAGTGGCTTTCAGTGAGAATGTCAGGATCTACACCAAACCCACATTATGGTGGAGTTTTACTACTGTATCCTTGTGCCAGCCTTCCTCTGTATTGCCTGTTCCTGAATGCCATGAGCAACTTTATTAGATTACAACACCCCAGCACCTGCAGTCATAAGTTGCAGTTTATTAAAATCTTCACATCCTTGTATGAAACGCTATGTGCCAATCGCTCAGATCCGTACCAGGCTCCCTTTCTGCCAGTGTAGGGGGGTAGAGAGATCCAGAGGGTAGAGGCATAATTCCCAAAAGCTTGTTACCTAATCATAATGATGGGATGGAGGGGGCAAAGAAACCACAGTAAGTGGATATTAATCTCTCAAGAAAAAAACAATAATAAGTTGGTAACTCAATCGACGACTGTTTGTGGGACGCTGCTGTGCGCAATTGGCTGCCACGTTTCACCCACAAATATACAGTCAATTCACTTTACAGTATATTCTGTGAAGCGCTTTGAGACGTCGAGAAGATGTGGAAAGCACTATATCAAATGCAAGGATTATCATTATTATCTATCTTCCCAAATCTCCTTTATGCCTATGTTCACCTCTCCTCCCCAGCTGTATCTAGAGTATTCTGAGATATTCGGTTCGACCCTCAGTTGGCTCCTGTGGTATGCAAATAGAAGTGGTGTGCAAACAAGATCAGCTGGACATGTTATCTGAATGTTGATTTCGTTATTTACATCAAGCATTCATTCCTAAGGGATTCCTAGCAACAGATAAGTCCTGTAGCTCAGTGGTTAGAGCACTCGCTTTGCAAGTGAGAGACCTGAGTTCAATTCCAGGCAGGGCGAAACCTTGGGCAAGTTTCCTTACTCCACACGCCTAATAATAATCCCTCCAAAAAAAAAAAACAATAATTAAATTGGTCATTTTCAATCTACGACTGTTTGTGGGACATTGCTGTGCGCAATTGGCTGCCGCGTTCGCCCACAAATATACAGTCAATTCACTTTACAGTGTGTTCTGTGAAGCGCTTTGGGACGTCCTCCCGACGTGAAAAGCGCTATATCAAATGCAAGGATTATTATTATTATTATAATAAAATAAATAACTTCAAATTTCTTTGTAGAAGTGACCCTGACTAGGTTGATAGCACTCTCACCTCTGAATCACAAAGTTCAATCAGGGCTTTGAACTCAGAAATCCTTCAGATGAAATGTTGAACCAAGGTCCCGTCTGCCTGCTCAGGTGGACATTAAATTTTCCGTGGCACTGCTCAAAAAGCGAAGGGCATATCTCCCCATTGTCATCAACAGGGACTAAATGACCTACATATCCACAGTGCATAGAGTTCACATAATCAAATTTGCTCTATTGTGATGCTCAAGGCTGCATTGTAGCAGGAAAACATTTAAATAGAATGCTTTTCTCTACAATTAAAAATGATCAATAATAATAATAATCCTTGCATTTGATATAGCATCTTTCACGTCGCTGAGACGTGTCAAAGCGCTTCATGCATTTTTGATAGTGCCTTTAGCATCAAAATATCTCAAACGCTCGACTCAATTGCTGGAAATCTAATGCAAATCTATGATGAATGAATAAAAAGAAAATTGGTGATGCACATAGAGTATGAGGTTTTATTTAAGGGGAAAAGAAAAATGAGATGGCTGAAAGCAGAAGTTTCAAGGAATTTATTATTAATTTCTTTTTAACTACTTTCCAGGAAGGCTAAATTTACATCTAGCATTAACGCAAACTGCGGCCTGAGTGATGTCTTATCTTTTCCAAAAATACTGTATAGCCACTTCCTGTACGTAGTGTCATATGGCTGTATCATCACCCCCTTTTTCATTTCTACCATGAATAATACCATGAATGCCTGTTAATGCAGTGCCTTCACCTTGCTTCCTCCCTTTCCTCCTTCAAGGCCGGTCTCAAAACCTTTCTCTTTGACCGAGCCTTCAGCTCCCCTCTCGACTCTCTTCCCCCTCCTCGCTCCCTCCCTTCCCTCCCCTCACCCTGACCATTTCCCCCCTCCTCGCTCCCTCCCTTCCCTCCCCTCACCCTGACCATTTCCCCCCTGCTCGGGTCATGACCCAACTGTGCAGCGCCTTGGGACGTCCTCCTGACGTGAAAGGCGCTTTATAAATGGAATCTTGTTGTTGTTGTTGTTGTTGTTGCTCTCTTCCCTTATCTGTTGGTGTTTATAATGTGAGCTTTTAATTTATGTTCTAGTGCAGTTGAGTTGTAATGATCTTTACTCGAGGGAAATTACAGTTATAATGCGGTTGGTCATTTTCACATATTCACAATGGGGAGATATGCCCTTTGCTTTTTGAGCAGTGCCACGGAAAATTAGTTTCCCACATATTCACATTGTTTGTGTTGACACTCCAGTGCAATGCTAGGATGAGTTGCACTGGACTGAGGGTTCATGCAGATGAGGGTTAAACTGAGGTCCAGGTGCACGTTAAAGATTCCATGTCATGATAGGTTATTGAAAAGAGTTTCTCCCAGTGTCCTGGCCAACAATCTCTAGATAAAATTGTTCATTCACTTCATCGCTGTGTACGGGTCATTCGCTGTCCACAAATTGGTTGCCAATTTCACCCATAAAATACAGTCACTGCACTATTCAGTAAATCCTGTAAAGTGCTTTGAGGCATCCTCCCAAAATGAATAGCATTATATCAAATACTATAGTGCCTTTTGCTTCTGAAGGACATCCCAAATTGCTTCACAGGGTTTACTGTAAAGAGTAGCTGTTGTATTTTATGCATGATTACATTAACAACAATAATCAGCGTTGCTATTATTTATGGGATAACTTTGTTTTTTTTTACAGATGGGAAAGTTCGATTGGCAACATTGGAGCTTGACTGCCTCTTACTTAAACAGCTTGTACTATCAAAGGGAACCTGTATTATTAAAGATGTACATCTTGCATGCCTGGAGGTAAATGTTTTGGACCCTTTCACATTTTGCTGTGCACTATGACCAAGAGAATTGAATGCAGGAAGAACTTGGTGCTCCAAGTTGCACCAAGTGTTAAGATAACCACTACCCTCCCACTCATTGCTTCCACAGATCTCAAACCTGCATTGTAGATCTGTGATCATTTCCTCTTAGACCCATGGGCCAATAGCCATTTGTGGATCAGTGCAATAAGGCAATGCTATTACTATTTGTAGCTGCACTGTACTGTTAATAGATAAGAAACACAGTTAAAAGTATTTTGTGTTTAAGACACTGATTTCTTTATATTTATAAAAAATATTATTACAAACATCACAGTTTGCAATACAAACAGCTAGTAATTGATGCATAGAGAACATTATTTTTATTCAAAAAATGTTTTTTTTCAAAGTTAGAAGTTATACTCTTGAATACAACTGATTTTGGACATTAGATGATAAAAGTTCATTCAATTTCTGTGAATGTTTTGCACTAGGTGTCACTGTTGTGACCCACAAATAATACTTTGAGAAAACAAGAAAATTGCTCCTGAAATCTTGATTTACAGTAATTATAATATATAATCTTTGCTTTCAATATAGCACCTTATTAAGTGCTTCACAGGATTCACAAGTGTGTGTACTGTAGTGTGTGTTTTGTGGGCGAACGTGGCAGCCAATGTGCACACAGCAATATCCCACAAATACCATGAAGTGAATGATGAATTTTATCTGGGGGAATTGTTGGTCAGGACACTGGAAGAAACTACCTTCTCTTTTCGAATAGTGCCATGGGATTTCTAAAGTCCACCTGAACAGGTAGACAGGACCTGGGCTTAGCTTATGAGATAGTGGAGGCCTTATGTCTGATCTTCTAAAATTCCTTGGATTCTGGAACAGTCCCGATGGATTGGAAGATCGCTAATGTCACACCACTATTTAAAAAAGGTGGAAAGGAAAAGATGGGGAACTATAGACCAGTTAGTCTCACATCAGTGATAGGAAAAATTTTAGAATCATTGATTAAGGATGTGGTAGTGCAGTATTTAGGGGAGCACAATTTTATTAGGCCAAGTCTACATGGCTTTACAAAAGAGAAGTCATGTTTGACAAATCTCATAGAGTTTTTTGAGGACATTTCCAGTAAACTAGATAAGGGTTAATCAGTGTATGTGGTCTACTTGGACTTCCAGAAGGCATTCGATAAGGTGCTGCATAAAAGGTTAGTCCAGAAGATAAGGGCCCATGGAATTGGGCGGAGCATATTAACGTGGATTGAGGAATGATTAACGGGTAGGAAACAAAGAGTAGGGATAAACGGGTCCTTTTCAGATTGGTGGGGTGTGACTAGTGGAGTGCCACAAGGATTAGTCCTTGGGCCTCAGCTATTTACCATCTACATCAACGATCTAGATGAGGACATCGAAGTTAATATATCTAAATTCGCAGATGACACAAAACTAGGAGGAAGTGTCAACACAGAGGACGACATTAAAAAAATGCAACGAGACATAGATAGGTTAGGTGATTGGGCAGGTAGGTGGCCGATGACGTATAGTGTAGGGAAGTGCGAAATCATCCACCTAGGTAGCAAAAACAGTAGAGCGGGTTTTTTTTAGAAGGGGAGAGATTGGAATGTGTTAGCGTCCAAGGGGACTTGGGTGTCCTTGTACACCAATCACAGAAAGTTAGTCTGCAGGTGCAGCAGCAATTAGGAAGGCGAACGGTATGTTAGCATTCATTATGAAGGATTAGAGTATAAGAGTAGGGAAGTCTTGCTGCAACTGTATAGGGCCCTGGTGAGACCACACCTCGAATACTGCGTCCAGTTTTGGTCTCCTCATTTAAGGAAGGATGTACTTGCCTTGGAGGGGGTGCAGCGTAGATTTACTAGGTTAGTACCAGGGATGAAGGGGATGAGTTACGAGGAGAGGCTGATCAATTTGGGCCTATATTCTCTAGAATATAGAAGAATTAGAGGGGATCTTATAGAAACCTATAATGGTCAACTAGAAATTGGGGATAATAGTTCTAACAGTAATTTAAATAAAGATTTGTCGAAGAACATCATTTTAACTTTTCTCTGACACCACTCTGAGCGTCTGTATTGTCTGGGAAATTTAAACACAGTACACGTGACATTGTTGTGTGATAATGTCTTATTTATATTTCAACGTCTAATACAGGCTTGAGATTGTGCTGAATATTGGATTTTGTAGCTTGCACCAATTTGCAAAATGTCAAGATTATAGAAAAAGGATTGTGAGGAGGGGAAACTCTACTTCGTTGTCGTTTCACCTAACCATGCTATGAACTCTTCTGTAAAGGTTATTTCACTTCTCCCCATTACTAATACAAACTTATTTTAGGTTTGAATGCATTGGTTTCCAGCCAAACCATCTTTCTGTTTGCAGAACTGTGTTTAGTGTCCTTTTCGTTTTCTGTGCACCAAATAGCAAAAATTAAGTTCCTTCTTAAAAATGAGTCAGGTTTTTTTGGTCAGCTGAGTATCTGACACATCACAGATTGCATTCCAACTATACATGGAAATTCTCAAGATGTTTAATGGAATAAAGGCACTCTCCCCTGGAAGGATGCATTGCTTACCTTATTCTGGAGAATATTAGGGGCAAGTTGGCAAGAGCCAAGTCTTGTGAAGCCCAGAGTGTTCATTAGGGAATTTCTGAAGTTTACCCAGCTAAACCCGCGTGGGCTGTCATTAACAAGCTTTCCAGCTGCTTGTCCAACTCAGACCACCCTACCCATTAGGGTTTTGGCTTGCTGGGTTAACAGGAGATGAGTATCAAGAATCCTTGCCTCCATTGACTCGTCTCTCCTTGAAAGTTGTCTCGATGAGCTTGGTTAGCTGGGCTGTCGTCAACTGTGCCCTGGAATACTGTGGATTCATCTGGCCTGCAGACTGCCCCAGAGAGTTGGCTTGATTCTGACATTCTGTTGTCAAACGTGCCAACTTGGAGCCAGTTTAGCTCCAACGAGACCCTGCTTGCCTCTTTCCCTCCGACTAGTTGGTCATTTGACATCTAACAAGTGCAGGTTTGAGTGCTCACTAGATGAATGGCAGGTACTAGGACCTCTCTGTGAGCGTCCTGGTGGGCAGCACACCTCAGCATGAAATGCGCAAGAGCATTGCCACCATCTTCCATACCACAGCCCACGTACATGCTCCTTCCCACTGAGAGATGGCTCCACCAGTTGGATTGTGTATTTACTCAGAAAGATATTCTATTCAAAACCTAGTCAGCAGTGTTGCAAGTTGAATCTTGTCGGTGGTCCAATGTCTGAATGATTGCTAGTTTCAGGAATTCTGTTTCGTTATTGTTTTCTAAAATCATGAATTAATGTGGAAAACCCCTCACTATTCTGTCTTTTTTAGCAACTTTGAAACCTTAAACCTGTGTTTCTCTCTTCTTTCTGGGATAAACCAATCTCCCCATTTGTAACCATTCGACCAAAGTTCATCACATTATTTGGAGGGTAGGAGAACAGGAGTAGACTACTCTTTATAAACTCCTGCTCCAGAATAGGTGTTTTTCGTGTTGAAGTAGGTAAAACAAATTGACCACACCTAGCTGTCATCCATTGTTTCTATATATAAAGGTTTCATTTTTGTGCAGATCATGAATGTTGTTTAATTAGAATTAGTTTTCGTATTGTTAGACGTTTTATATTCACCATGATGAATTAACCGATGTGACTCTAATGGGGTCAATTTGAGGGATTTGTCCAATGAGGAGGGTGTAGATTTCAAAGAAATTTGGTGATGTTTAAATTTGAAATGATGGTAATAATAATAATAATCCTTGCATTTGACCCAGCCTCATCACGTCGATGAGACATCTCAAAAAGCACTTCATGGAATATATTGTAAAAAGGATTGACTATATTTTGTGGGCGAAACGTAGCAGCCAATTGCAGCAACTGGGTTCGTACTTACTGCTTGGTAAACAGAGGCGTGCAGAGTAAGGACACTTGCTTAAGGTTTGACCCCTTCCAGGAATCAAACCCAGGTCCTCTGGTATGCGAGGCGAGCACACTAATCACTTCGCTACTGGATTCCAAAATATACCAGAGTGCCACATATTACTAGAGAAAGAGCATCACATATTACAGGACAACATGAAAATGTATTTAGATTTGTTCTGAAGAAAATGGAGACTTTCTTGAAGTAATTAGCTTCTTCACTATCCCTACATTTGAGGCCATTTGTAGAACCCTGTCAGTTATTGAATTGTGCTGTCAAGATAATAAAATATTATGTACAATAAAAAAGGATTAACCAAAATTAGTCTTATTTATCAAGGAATTCTAAACTTTTTACTATTTACACAGTACAATCCATTTATTATGCCAATTTTATGCCAATTATTGACCATTGTATGCTTAAGAATTGAAAACTATTTTATGATTTGGTTTAAATTAATGCAGGCTTTAGCAGTGAGGGATTTTTGGCACATGAAGCATAGCTGTTTCTGTTTTTAATATTCCAGGAAAAGTTGGTGTAGACCTGGCATTATATCACAGGAATAATTCAAAGACATATTGCACTCCCAAACTCAGACCAGTCTGTTGACATGAGCCTCAATACTCTCTCCCTTTCTTGAAACAACACAACATTCTGGTGCTTCCAGTCCAGAATGTCGTGCCATATAAATAAATATCTCAGAACTAGATTTAAAAACATTTACTTGCATATAACTCTGCTTTTAAATGGATCCACCATTTTTTGGCATTCCCCAAGTTGCAATTGGCTGGGAGTACAGGTATGACTGGTGCTTGACCTGATGCCTGTAGCATCTGAGTGAAATGCTTAATATTATTGACGTTTCTGTCAGTCGTTCACTCTTCACTAAATCTATTCTGTGTTGAATTCAGTATTTTTTTTTGAAAAAAATAATCCTCTAAGCTGAATATTCTTTATTTCTCATTCAATAATGTCTCCATATACTGGTCAATGACTATAACTTTGGCTTTATGCATTCCGATCCATCCCTGCAGCAACTCAACAAGTGCCTTTAGTTAGTTTATGGCCACAAAGTCAATGTCACACTTCTGATACTGTAAGAGGTCTGCACTGGAGGAATGATTTCTTATCTAATGTTTTGGTCGAAGAACAAGACTACCTAGGATCCATGGTTGTGCTAAGGGAGACCTCAAGCTTCAGAGGAAAGATTTATCAGCCATCTTCTGTCATGGTTTATGGTAAAGTCATGGCAGTGTTGTCTTTTGTGATCATTAAGCAGGGATCATTTTTAATTTTAATGCAGAAAGGTACTTTGGGTTAAGGATGTCATGATCAAGTACTGCATTGTAACTCCAACCTGCTCTATTGTGAATAGTTGGCATAAGAGTTCATGTCTGTTTCAATTTCTCCTGTTTCCCGCAGTGTGGGTTTAGGGGTTTATATCAGGCGCTGTTCCTCTTCCTCTTCCCTTTCCCCTCTTCCTCCCTGGTTGTTGGTGGTGTGATCATTAGATAAACATTATTGCTCTTCTGATTTTAATTTTTCATTTCTTGTGTTTAATAAATTATAGTGTGGATTACAAGAATGGTACCAGAATGAGGGATCTTGATTATGAGGAAAGGCTAGCGAGGTTAGGATTATTCTCGTTGGAGCAGAGAAGGTTACGAGGAGACCTAATAGAGGTCTTCAAAATCATGAGGGGATTTGATAAGTTAGAAAGGAAAAAAACTGTTTCCACTGGTGGGTGTGTCGGTGACTCGAGGTCCCAGAATCAAAATAGTCTCTAAAAGAAGCAGAGGGGAGGTGAAAAGAAATTTTTTCACGCAGCGAGTTGTTTGAATCTGGAACGCATTGCCTGAAAGGGCGGTCGAGGCCGATTCGATAACTGCTTTTAAAAACGCGGTGGACGGGTATTTGAGGAGGACGGGTTTGCAGGTTATGGGGAAAGGGCTGAGGAGTGGGATTGACATTACATTATTCTTTCCATAGAGCCGGCACAGACTTGATGGGCCGAATGGCCTCTTTTTGTGCTGTACAATTCTATGATTCTGTGATTTTCCAGTTTTCTGGTTAGGATAATATTTAATACCTTCTCTCCCTCTTCTCCCCGTTGTTCGGATTAAAAGCAATGTCCATTTTTCTATTTAATTTTCCATCTTCCTTTCTGCAGGGCGCAAGGGAAGAAAGTGTCCATTTATTACGCCGTTTCTATAAGGTAAGATTCCCTACACATCTGAATTTGTAGTGACAACTGGCGATTGAACACAATTTTATAATAGACTCAATATTACAATCGTTTAATTTGGGTTTGGGGAAAAATGAGAGAATCAAAGAGCAGAGTGTTCTCTCTGCTTTAATCTTTTCCCAGTCAGCAAATTCGAGTGTCTACAGTGTGCGTAAAGGGAGGAAGAATAAAGGATTTCAGATTAAGTAGAAGGTTGGTTGCATGCAGATTTAAAGATTAATGAAAGTATAATGGAGTGGTTGCATTTTTCTTCTCAAAGAAGGGAAGAAAAAATGCAAACTAATGTTTCACTTGTGTCCTAGAGTTCCTGCTGTGCAAACGCAACTTCAAGGAAATCCTAGCAAAAAGATTTTTCAGTCTTTTAAAGAGAAGTACTTGCATTTTGCAATAGAAACAAGTTTATCGATCTTTTGTGGTAGAATATCAAGACTTATCCCACTTTGTGACCAAATTGCTGAACCACTATTATTTAATGGTTATTATTGATGTTGCTCTTACTGATGCTGCGCTCCCTATTCAGTTTTCCTAACAATAATAATCCTTGCATTTGGTATTGTGCCTTACTATGTCATTGCTACACCTCAAAGCACTTCACAGAATATACTGTAAAGTGGATTCACTGTATTTTGTGGGCGAAACGCGGCAGCCAGTTTTGCCACACAGTAATGTCCCCAAGAAAGGCATGGAGTGAATGACCAATTTTATTTTGGGAAGATTGTTGGCCAGGACAACTCCCTTCTCTTTTCAAATAATGCCATGGGATCTTTAACGTCCACCTGAACAGTGGAAGCCTGTAGCTCAGTGGTTAGAGCACTCGCTTTGCAAGTGAGAGACCTGAGTTCATTTCCCGGCAGGGCGAAACCTTGGGCAAGTTTCCTTTCTACACACGACTAATAATAATCCCTCCAAAAAAACAAAAAAATAATAAATTGGTCATTTTCAATTCACGACTGTTTGTGGGACATTGCTGTGCGCAATTGGCTGCCGCGTTCGCCCACAAATATACAGTCAATTCACTTTACAGTATATTCTGTGAAGCGCTTTGGGACGTCTAGAAGACGTGAAAAGCGCTATATCAAATGCAAGGATTATTATTTATTATTAACAGGCACATGTTCAGTTTAACTGAACATTTCTCAGTTTAACATCTCATCCAAAGGACAGCATCTCCAACAATACAACACCCTCCAGCACTGCAATGAAATGCCAGATTAAACCATGTGATTCCATGTCCCAATTCAGGGCTTCTGACTGAGCTGAGAGTGGTACCACTGGCCAGGTTGACACACAGCATACAGTCATATAGGCGATTGCTATTTAAATAAAGTTATTTAAAAAGTTGATGGTGGAGAACAATTTTAAAGTGTTCCCTATAGCAGGGCACCATCTCAGACATTTAATTATACCTTAGGGTGCAACTTTGGAACTGTCTCCCTTAATCCCTCCACCTTGCCCCCTCCTTCCCCTTTCTCAAATCACGCCTTAAGATATTCCTCTCTGACTGTGCTTAGGGTCACCTACCACCTCTCCCTGGCTCAGCGTCAGGCTCTGCTACTTTATAAACGCTCTGCAATGTTACCCCATGTTAAGGGTGTTATATAATAGCAAGTTATTGTTGTTATTAGGGATTCAGGAGAGGTCTGGTCTTAAAAAAACACTATCCTAGTTTGCGGAACTAATTGATTGTGACCCAAAAACTCAGCATTTTTAGAAAGCAATGTTTTATACCTTCAAAGAATTTGGGTTCATTTTATTCATTGAACATTATAGTTTATTTTGGGAACCAGAGAAACTTATCAAGAGATTAAAAATGATTACCTTAGATACAGCTCGAAAATAAGATTTACCTTGTGGGACAGGAAACTCATCCCCAATATGCTGTGATCATTCCTCCTTTTTCTCCACGAGTGTTTCTTATAAACGGAATATAAATCCAGTCGCGATCCATGTTGATTTTGTTTGTTTTAAAATCTACAACAGTAAAAACGAAACTTGGAAACCTTATCTCAAAAAATACTTGAGATAAAATTTCAACATCAGTTTATGTTTGAACCATCTGTTTCTGTGTGTTGCTCATATTCATTTACAATCAGTTTCAATTCTCAACTTGCCTGTCGAAATCCTGGTTGGAGCTTAACTGCTGGCCACTTTGTCACATTTTGATATCTGTGAACATTAGTTTTTCAGTGATAAATTGTTGATAATTTCTGTGAGTCATTGGATCTCGGATTAATTTGAGAAATGGCATGCAACAACTTGACTTTCTGTTTGGGAACGGGTCTGTGCCGGTGTATCTGGGTGCTAACCAGTCACCTAACTGAACTCTTACACTTCCAACCTGCAGAAAGTCTCTCTTTGTTTGTCCCACATGCTTGTGGAAACGTTTTAGCTGCGTTTTGAATGGTGAATTTCATAAAACTTATACTGGTTTATTTTTTTTAATTAAAAAAAATTGTTTGGAGTATTTTTGTGAGCATTGCTTTCTTTACTTGTCTAGCCTGTGGTCTGTACCAACTTTTTAGTTTATTCTGTGAGAATCATTAGCATCATTTTTTTTCCTTCAGAATTCTAGACATTGGTTGTCAAATAAGACTCGCTTAGAAGTTTCATCCCAATACCCCAATTTGGTCAATTTGTTTATTAAATAAGGTGAATGTGAGTGAATTGGAATGCAACTTCCACAAAACCTAATTTTTGGAGCAAATACTCTGTTTTCTCAGCAGCTGCACTTACGGCATTTTTGAGTATCAATGCCAAAGAGCTTCCAGAATGTCCTTGGGACGTTCTCCCGACGTGAAAGGCACTGTACAAATGTAATTTGTTGTTGTTGTTTGCTGTTTCGGTGAATAATGGGTAGACTTATAAATATAAGCACCTTCCAAAATGTACCTTTTATAATAATTTCCACATTGTTTCCAGGATCACCTGATAAGCCAGCTTATTATCTGTACTCAGAAATATACGTTGTACCTTTTTTTGAAAGAAAAAAAAGTCCCATGTATTTTAATCGCAGACATGCAAAACGGTGGTTTGCCTCATCTAGTGATTATTTATTTCTCTCCTCATTTTCTGCTTTCTTGTCTCTCCTGAGGTAATGAATCATACAGGGTAGGTTGCCAGCTACCTTGTAGTATCTCATTAAAGTAACTGCGCTTGAAAGGTCAGTGAGTAGTGGGGTGCTAATCCACAGCTGAGCTCCATTCAGCCCTCAAGCACCATGCGTGCTTTCAGTAGAATTTATTGAATAGAAATGACTTTGTCAATTGTATTTTCTTCCCTTATCCAAGTTACTGAAGCCAGTGGTAAGGCATCAATTACCGCCAGATTATTTCAGCAGTAACCAGGCATCACATTTTAGGCTCTTGCTGATCCGTGGTCAGCTCTGCACAATGTTCTGCATTCACTGATCTCGTCACCGGAAACTTAAAGACAGTGATTTCTGTGAACGTCCCTAAGATTAAAAACTGCCTTAACCTGCAGAAAATAAGTTAAACCAGGTGTAACATTTGAGTCTTGTGCAAGTCTAACTTGTAACTTAGAATCTAAATTGGTAGCCTCAGTGGTAGCCTCATTTGTGTCCAATCTTGAGTATTACTATGTCCAATATATCAAATATCCACAATGGATATTCCAGACATTTAGCCTGACTAATATGTGACTAGTTTCATGTTACATTTCTGTCCAATTGGAAGAGCCACTGTAGATAATTCTTGACGAGCACTGCAATCCAGGCACCTGTTAGAACTGTAACTAACTGTAAGAATTTGGGGCAAGAAAATCTGAGAGGACAAAAGCATTCAACTAGAATGTGTTGCTGAAGAAACAGATCTTGGTTTCTGGTCCAGTCAGTCAGTACTGAACACACAAAAACGTGTATTCAGTACTGACTGATTGGACCAAATTGGTACACACAAAAATGGCTAAAAGAAACTAAGGCTATTCGTTATCCATGAACTGAGAGCATCTAAAATAGTTAATACTAGCTGTACCCAGTGCAGCTATGCTTGCAACCAAAAGAACCAATATAGAATGTAGATTGGCACACAGCCAGACATTTCATCTTTATCTATACTCATCTGAGAGGACTCCTGTGGGAGGATTCCTTTTGGAGTGCTGTTGCGGTTCTTTCAGCATTGACAATAAGGAAAAGGTGCAATTGATGCATCAGAATGTCTCAACTTGCTTGACTGGCTGACTGACTGACTGGGAGTATGGCAATAGGATATTGAGTGACTCAATTTTGAAAAAAACACTTGTTTATTTCAAGAAATATTTTACTTCACAGTAACTTATTCAATTTCTTCACGTTAAAGGATGTTACACCAATAGATTTTACCGCTTCTGTGAAATAGCACCGTTTTTACTGTTTTTACTATGAGGACCATAGAGTGTTGCTTCTAAGTAAACAATATGATGAAACTACTGAAAACTAATTAAAAGCAGACTCATCTGAACTTTTCATTTGCACTACATTCTGTTAAAATAAATATTGCAAAAATAGCGCAGCCCAGTTAAAACATGCTTTTTTATAGCACAGAATTTGATTCCATTTTGCATGTGGTTCCATTTTGCATCCCGACCCAACTGTCCAGCGTCTTTTGGGACGTCCTCCCGACATGAAAGGCGCTCTATAAATGTAATCTTCTTGTTGTTGTACATGGCCAGTCCACATGTTTTCCATATGCTAGTCAGGTCCCACACCAAAATGGCCATCTTCCAGGTCATTAGATCTCTGCTGAAGTAGCTTTCTGTGTGCAAGCAGGTATACCAATGTTACTTCCCACTTTGCACATACATAGCACATGAAGTGGCATTAATGACCCAGAAGTCAGACATTTTGGTAGGAGGGGAACAGTTCTAGTGGGAAGTTTGGTAGCTGGAAACGCAGCGTGCACAGTGAAGCAACTAGATACATTTACATATTCCATCCATCGCATTATAATGGGACTCTACATCCCATTTGCTGTAAATCTGATGCCAGGGATGGAAAAATGACCACCTTTCAACTTGATATTTAGAGGATTGCAACTCTTACTACAATTTGTCTCTTGGCTTGCTTGGCCTTGGCTGACTATCTTAACAAATCGAGGTTTGGGTCACTGTAAGCTACTTGTTCCAGGGATGATGCCCAGCACCACGACGTAGCAAGATGTGCCAACTACAATGGGAAATTGTTGTATCATGGGGAAACCAACCTCCTAAAATACAGTGAAATTACAAGTATCTAAAGTCAAACTTGGTTTTCTCTGTGGTCTGTTTTTCTCTGGTTCTGTTTTCCTGGTTGTAGAAAATGGAATGACAGCATGAGCTGATTTCTCGCTGTTTCCCTCTCTGCTCTCGCTTTTCCTTTACAGTCTGTGATGGTCTTCTATGAGGAACATGTAGATATTGGGCCTCTTGAGTATCAGATAAATCAGAGATACAGTTTCTTCAAATGTTTTGTGTCTGGTGACAATTTGGTCGTTTTTATGGTCGTTCCCGTCACTGGATGATCAAAAAGTCTTATTTTTCAGCTACCCTGTGATCTAAAAAAAATCATAATTTCTTAAAGACTTATTATACATTGTAGTGGTATCATGACTTTTTGTTCACCCTTCATGTGGAAGCACATCTATTTACAGATGCTTTGCACCAGGATAAAATTATTGATAGCGTCGTCTTGTGTATTTTAATGCTTTTTGCCGGGGCTGCTGCTGAACAATTGGAATTGTGTGAAGGTGTCAGAACTCTAAAATACGGTTTTAGTGAATAGAGCTTGAAGAAATGTTTCAAAGTGCAATGAGAACACTTCATCAATAAGATACTACAAGTCTCTGCCTTCTGACCAGATGACTTTGGACAACAGACCAATCTTTAATTCTTCAAATTAGTAATGATGGTTGTGCTGAGATAATCAGTGGATGACAAAACTAAAATAAGGGCTCTCTTTTCTAGGGGGAAGAAATTTTTCTGGATATGTTTGAAGATGAATATAGGAGCATGATGGTAAGTAATCATGCTTCATTGAAAGATGTTGATGATGACGACAACAACAAATTACATTTGTACAGAGCCTTTCATGTCAGGAGGACGTCACAAGGCGCTGGACAGTCAGGGATCTGCACCTGAGCTTGTGGTTGGGATCAGGAGGGGTGGAGGGCGGGGAGGGTAGAGTTAAGAGGGTGACTGAAGGCAAGGTCGAAGAGGAGAGTCTTGAGACAGGTCTTGAAGGAAGCAAGGGAGGGGGCGAGGTGGAGGGACTGTGAGATGGAGTTCCAGAGGGTGGGACGGGGAGGTTGGAGGCCTAATTAATATTAATATATTCAAGTACACGGTGAGAGGCTGAGTAGGTTGGGGTCACATTAAATGCAATAAAATACTGTTAGCCCAAACCAATGGGATAGAGGGAGGGAACCAGAAACTGGAATTTTCTGCTGGGTGTAATTACAATAATTAATTAGCAATGGCATTAACTGACTTTTTCTGGCACCAGCTTTTTCCAGTGCCGAAAAATGCTGTTAAAAAAACGCCGGTACCGGCATTGTAATTGTTTGATCCTGAGAACAAATGAACCATCTTCAGCTCGCAGGATTCAAACAAATAAAGTCGATATCCCTGGCTTTACTTGAGGCCAGTGAGCACAGTGAGGCGAGGGGAATGCACTAGAGTAGTCTGGCGCCCAGGTCTCTGGGGGGAAAAAAATAATAATGGTGCTTCGGGCCCGCTCCAGCTAGTTCTGAATTCCGGATATCCGGAGACTGGTAAGCCAGCAGTTTACTGTAATACATTCCTTAGAACAGAGAACATTTGATTGAGGTATTTAAAATAATGAAAGAAAAGCACAGGTTAGCTGGAAGATGCCTCTTTCCCATGGTAGAGGGATCCATTACAACAACCTCAATTTATATTTGCACAGCACCTTGCACACCAGGAAGACTTGTCAAACACTTCGCAAGGTTGGCTGAGCCTTAAATTCAGAAGTAAGACGGTTGGAGTTGAGGTCAGGAAGCATTTCTTCACATCGACGATTGTGATACTCGGGTAGTGGAGGAATTATGATGAAAGGCTGAATCGCCTGTTCCTCTTTTTCTATGCTCGGATCTCTATTGTTTCAATAAAGTGTAGATTAGGGATCAAACTTTGGACCTTTCAAATCTTTATGGTCTGGCTTTATCGTATCGTTTTTGTGAGTTCTTCCCACTATTTTGATATTAACCAAATGTTTAGTAGACTCTTTCAAACCAAGTCTGATCTCAATCGACCACTGCCACCACATGTTTCTACATAGTTTTTCATCCAGTTAGCTAACTTCCATGAACCATGACTTTTAGTTTGTGGAACTTTACACATCGACTTGTGAAATTCCAATTTAATTACACCCACCAAACACTTCCTAGGAACCACGAGTACATTCAGATAAGAAGGAACACTGGTTAGACACAGGGAAAGCCATCAACATTATGTCCCAACTGCTTCTTCCCTAAGTAGAAACTCCCAGGGTCTAACTGTGACGTTTCTATTTCACACAATGCCATCTTTCTAGCCACTGGGGGGTTGTTAACTTAATCTTAATTTGTGTATTATTCAAGTCATGATGTGGCGTTGCTCACTAGGAATCAACTTAAGTCTAACTCATTTGATATAGATCCTAATACACAAATTGTTTGATGTAGGGGGAAAAAGTCTTGATACTTGTATTGTCCCCTTCTCTCCTATAAATTGTATTTTCATTGAATTGGAGTAGGAATAAATAAGCAGAATGTAAACCTAGTTCAATTATTGTTCATTATGATGATAAAAAAAGAATGTGTATTTAAACCTTTTTTTTTCTTTCCCAGAGTAAACCTCTGAATGTAGAATATCTGATGATGGATGCATCTATCCTGCTGCCTCCCACTGGCACTCCTCTAACTGGCATAGACTTTGTAAAAAGACTTCCTTGTGGTGATGTGGAGAGGACAAGGAGGGTGAGCACTTCATTACATTTGGGGACTATTTCAAAACTTATTTTCAAAATTGATTTATTTCATTATGATTGGGTTTCTCTCAGCACTTCGAAACAAATATAAAACCATAAGTTGAATGTGGATTTCTTTGCTGGCCTTTGATGTTTACGCAAATCTAAAAACAAAAGCGATAGCTGGTTTTCCGCTCCGTATCTCTGGGAAGACTGGGGTTGAATTTAGCTTCCCCATATATTGATCTGAGGCCAGACTATAAGCTGCAGCTCTAGTCGCTCGACCATTGGGGCTGCTGAAGATTATTATTAAGGCTTGTAGTCGTTGATCTCTGAACCGTTCAGTTGAATTACTACCTACGGTTCCCTTGTGGTTTAAAAAAAAAGCCAACTTCCCGATCATCACCAACGACCCTTCCAACACATTGTGCAGGAAGCTATTTGCAAGTAGCAAAAGCGGACAGCGTGCAGGACGTGACTTCAACAACAACTTGACAACCCAGGAATCGGGCATTGTTCACCACAGGAAGGCGTGTCAGCTGCTGCCATTGTTCAAAAAGTGTATTATCCGTGCTTATACACACAATGTACAGGAATGATGTGGAGGATATTTTGACATTTTAACCCTGTTATAACTTGATGTTTGGGTTCAGGGATCCCGAACAGTGCGTTGCTTTGGAGTTCTGTAATTAGTATTGTGAAAGGGCTTTTCTGTAAGTAACTATCATGAATGCCATTTGCTGAGCAACCTATTGACAAGGGAGGAGTTGATTGTCTATGGTTTCTAGACATCTTGTACTTGTAACGCAAACATTGGTTTCAGGTTTCTTTAGTCGTGTTTTCCTAGAAAGTTCTCCTGAAGATAAGTGCAGCCTCATTATAATACTTTGTCTGGGATCCATATCAATTCCCAGCTTGGTGCGAATGGTGGGTATGAACTTGCAGTGAGCCAACCAGTTGGTTCCAGTACCAGAAAAACAATAGCCAACGTTTGGGTCATCAGGTCATCTTAGTGACATTCTGAGTGTGCGCAAAGTGGGAAATGATATTGGCTGCAGCTTAATGATCTAGAAGTCGGTGTAAATCACCTCAACTGCTTGATCCTGGACTTTGCAGGATGCTGCATCATCAGGATGCTGCTGCATTCCCAGAAGCTCATATCCATAAAGGAGGACTGCTTGTACACAGATCTTGGGGAGTCCTGTAGCTCAGTGGTTAGAGTCCTCACCTCACTAGTGAGAGGACCTGGTTTTGATTCCCAGCAGAGCGAAACATTGGGCAAGTTTCCTTACCCCACGCTCCTCTGTTTACCTAGCAGTAAGTGGAAACCCGGTTGTTGGTTGATTGACGGATCGCTTTTCTGGGGCTAATAATCCCTTCAAAAAATAATATTAATAATATTTTTTGGAGGGTAACCTAAGTTATCCCTGAGGTTAAAGTTTGAGTGCTCCTAGCTTTTGCTTTCTTCTTTTTCAGGCTATCAGGGTTTTCTTCATGCTCCGTTCTCTGTCCCTGCAACTACAAGGCGAGCCTGAGACACAGCTGCCCCTAACCCGGGAGGAGGATCTAATTAAAACAGACGACGTGTTAGATCTAAGTAGGTATTTTCACGATATTGCTTGTGCTGCTCACCTCCTCTTTCATGGGATCCATTGGTATTATTTAAATGCAATTGTTCAAATTCATTAATAACCTTTGCATTTACTGAAAGGGCTCTTTACAATAGATTTCAGCCAGTGTGAATTCCTGTGTTATGTAACTATATTTCAGAGAATGTCACCGAATGTGAAATGATGTAAGTTACTCTACTCTAAACATACAATAAATTTACAGATTATCATGAAGTTTTAATATTTATCTTGAAGGACAGAGATTATAGGTTCTGAAGTGATTACTTACTGCCATTCATCTTTATTTTCAATTAATTCTGTGAGATTAGGCTTTATTTTTGCCAGTGTGCGTACACCTACTATTTTTTCATATGTAAACCACGTAAATCAACTCACTGAATTTGTTTTGTTTTTTTAAACTGCTGTTTATGGTGCTGAGAGTGAAGCCAGATTATGCTTCCCATTTCAGGGTCTTGGAAAAAGTAGAATTTTGAAGTGTTTGTTTGTTACCTCTTGCCTTGTGTTTACACTCTCCAGAATGTTAGAATTCGGCTTTTGAGAATTGCTAGTTTCAAAAGATTGCTGCAATTTCTTAAGATGTCAGTTAAAAAACTGGTTCCCATTTAAGTTGAGCTCTTCTACTTCTGAATTTGTTATTGATAAACTGAATTTTCAAAGAAAAAGAAACTTGTAGTTAGATCACCGCATTGTGGAATGCAGGTTAAATCCACCTCTTTAATACCTTAGTTTCCAGCCCACTTGATACTGTTCAATATCTTATATAAAATTATACTCTGTGAGCAATGTGGTGAAGGTGTAAGTCTAGTCATGCAAAAGGTTCAATAGGAGTTGAACTTGGAAATAGGTGCTTTCTGTGTCATTAGTCAAATGTTCCATACGTATTTTATACGTGTGTAGGAGTGCACCATGTGATTAGCAGACACCAATGGTTTTTGAAGCACACCTCACTAGCTTTACAGTAAATATTGAACCACGCACTCCAGTTTAGATGAAAAAGTGGGAAGATCTGAAATTGTATTTTCTTTGTGGTATTTTCTGTTTAGGTTTATGAGGTGGGTGTCTTGCAAGTGGTTTGTAATCACTCTATAGATTTGTGTGTTTGGCTCCATTAGAAACACATGGAGATTAAAATTGTTCAGTATCCAGAGGAATCCAGCTCTTGACAGAAAATCAGGTGTTCACCTCATTGATGATTGCTGTATGCTGTTGCACAAATCTCTCTTACAAATGGGATGTGCAGAGGTGTTAGAGTGAAGAACCACAGCTTATGGGAACAGCATATAGCATTATTATTCCGCACTTTGGGATAGCATCGTAGCATTGGTGGCTTGTGCTGCATGCTTCTGACTTCGGATGCGGATTGACCGACTCCCTGACAACCACTGGGAACTGATCTACCCCACCATGAGTGGATGAACTTTCATCTCCATTCTGGGATGGAGATCTCTGGACTTCACCCAGCTGAGCTGAGGGGATGGTGGTGATTGAAAGCTGGTCGAAACTTTGGGTCTTAAGGCAGGGAGGGAAGCAGAAAGTCAATGACTTCTAAAGTAGACAGGGATGGAGTTCCAGAGAGTGAGGTCAGAGTGGGGTGAAAGCTCATCTAGCGATGTCGGTGCAGATCTGATGGAGGTAAAACAAACTGATGTTTAAGTGGCCACTTTATAAATCATTGGTGCGACCGTACTTGAAATACTGTATACCATTCTGGTCGCCGCAATACAAAAAGAATATTGCAGTGGTTAAGAGGAGGTCAATCAGAATAATTGGGAGGATGGAGGGGAAACAGTTTTTCATCTTAAAGAGCTGCATCTTATTCAATGTGGGAGTGCCTTGCCAGAACTGGGGAATGTTTCAGTCATTTTTCAGTTTACAAAACCACAATCGCTTGTCCTTTCCTTGGTGTTGCAGAAGGTTCGGTACACGTTTCAACTNAAAAAAACAGAAGTGAGAAACTTTCTTTGATAATCTGATGCGTGGCTACTTCTGTGATTATATTGGCAATGCCAACAAAGTGGTGTAACAGCACGAGTAAAACATGTTCATTTGGCAATCATTTATCATGGGTTTTGGGACATTGGAGAGAGCATTTTTTCTTGCTAAAAGGTCTTTTTTGTTCACTGTCAGTTGTTTAAAACCCTCTTCAATATTTCACATTGGTAACTCATTGTAAATTCACTTAATGGATTTTTCCCTAATTTCTGTGTTTCCATGATCTGGGCCCACCATCCTTCTGCCCTCTTCTTTAAAGCTCCGAAACACTAATCGTGTGAAGGAGGCCTAATTAAATACAAGTTATTGTTTTTCTTCAATCCTGTAGCGTATTGGTTAGAGCGCTCACTTCGCAATCGGGTTCGATGATTCACGTGCAGTGCGAAACTTTAGGCAAGTTTCCTTAACTTCACACGCCTCTGTTTACCTAGCAATAACTAGGAAGCCGGTTGTTAGTTGATTGGTGTATCACTTTCTGGGGGTTATTATCCCTTTTTTTTATCTGGTCACTCAATCCATGACTGTTTGTGACACACTACTGTGTGCAACTGGCTGGCTGCCGCATTTCGCCTACAAAATATACTGTCATAGCTCTTTATAGTATATTCTGTGAAGTGCTTTGAGACGTCTCATCGACGTGATAAGGTGCTATAGCAAATGCAAGATTATTATAATCCTATATGAAACATTCTCCAGCCTAACATTCAACAACAACAACTTGGATTCATATAGCGCCCTCCACGCCAGACAGCGACTCAGAGCGCTTTACAATAACGGATCCCGGGACCGAGCCAGAGAGAGGGCAAGGAAGGTGACCAACAACAACAACAACAACAAGATTCCATTTATAAAGCGCCTTTCACGTCAGGAGGACGTCCCAAGGCGCTGCACAGTTGGGTCATGACCCGAGCAGGGGAGAAATGGTCAGGGTGAGGGGAGGGAAGGGAGCGAGGAGGGGGGAAATGGTCAGGGTGAGGGGAGGGAAGGGAGGGAGCGAGGAGGGGGAAGAGAGTCGAGAGGGGAGCTGAAGGCACGGTCAAAGAGAAAGGTTTTGAGACCGGCCTTGAAGGAGGAAAGGGAGGAAGCAAGGCGAAGGCACTGGGGGATGGAGTTCCAGAGCCTGGGGGCTGAGAGGCTGAAGGCCCGACCACCGATGGTAGGGCGGTTTGGGCGGGGGACGTGGAGCAGACCGGAGCCAGAGGAACGGAGGGTACGGGCAGGTAGGTAGGGGGATAGTAGGTTGGAGAGGTAGGAGGGAGCAAGGCCGTGAATGGCCTTGTAGGTGAGGATGAGGATCTTGAAATCAATCCTCTGGGGGATGGGGAGCCAGTGGAGGCGAGCGAGGGTGGGAGTGATGTGGGTGCGAAGCCTGGTGCGGGACAGTACACGAGCTGCAGAGTTCTGAATGACCTGCAGCTTGTGGAGGGAGGTGGCGGGAAGGCCGGCGAGGAGAGAGTTCCCATAGTCCAGCCTTGAGGTGACAAAGGCGTGAACCAGGGTTTCAGCAGCGTGAGGGGTGAGGTAGTGCCGTAGTCTGGCGATGTTCCGGAGGTGATGGAAGGCGGTGCCAGTTGTGGTGCGGATGTGAGGGAGAAAGGACAGCTCAGGGTCGAACAAAACGCCGAGGTTCCTGACTGGCTTTGAGAGGTGGAGAGTGCAGCCTTGGATGCTGATGGTGTCAGCGCCTGAGGTGCGGAGGCGCTGACGTGAGCCAATCAGGAGGGCCTCGGTTTTTCGCACGTTGAGCTGAAGAAAGTTGTCTCTCGTCCAGGACTCGATGTCGGACAGGCAGGCTGTCAGGACATCGGTGGTCGTGGAGTTGAGAGTAGAGGAGGAAAGGTAGAGTTGGGTGTCATCCGCATACATGTGGAAGTTAACCCATGTCTGCGGATGATGTCACCAAGGGGGAGAGGGTGAAGAGGAGGGGACCGAGGACAGAGCCCTGAGGGACACCACATGAGACAGTGTGGGGGGTGGAGGAGAAGCCATTCGTCGAGACAAAGTGAAGACGGTGAGAAAGGTACGACCTAAACCATTCAAGGACAGTGCCTTGAAGGTTGAGGTGGGAGGACAAGCGGTGGAGTAGGATAGCGTGGTCGACCGTATCGAATGCTGCCGATAGGTCGAGGAGGACGAGGAGACAGAGGGAGCCCTGGTCACAGATGGTCAGGATATCATTGGTGACCTTGACCAGGGCAGTTTCTGTGCTATGGGCAGCACGGAAACCTGACTGAAGGGGTTCAAAAAGAGAATGGGTGGAAAGGAAAGAGCGCAGTTGGGAGGCGACAACTCTTTCCAAGACCTTGGAGAGAAAGGGGAGGTTGGAGATGGGCCGGTAGCTTGATAGCTGCGACGCATCAAGGGAGGGTTTTTTCAGGGTGGGCGTGATGATGGCAGTTTTTAATGGAATGGGGACAGAGCCAGAGGAGAGGGACAGGTTGATGATGTCAGTGATATGTGGGGCAAGAAAGTGGAGCTGGGAGATAAGGAGTGGAGTGGGGATGGGGTCAAGGGAGCAGGTGGTTGGTTTTAGGGATAGGATGAGTTCAGTGACAGAGGGTGGGGAAACGGGTACGAAGGTGTGTAGGGGAGGATGGGTAGGAGTCGGAGTGTGGGAGGGAAGGGGTGGGTGGTGGGTGGAAGTTGGAGGGGAAGTGACCGCGGAGCGGATTCCCTTGATCTTGGATTCAAGGAAATCCAGCATCTCCTCGCAGTGAAGGTTGGAGGAGATGACCTGCGCGGGGTGGCGGGGGGGACGGAGGAGTCGGGTTGTGGTGGAAAACAGTAGCCTGGGGTTGTTCTTCGCCTCCAGGATTATCCTGGAGTAGAAGGACGACTTGGCCGAGGCTAGAGTGGAGCGGTAAATTTTGAGGAGGTCCAGCCAGATTTGTCGGTGGACCGTTAGGCCAGATTTGACACAGGTGCGTTCAGCAGCCCGCACCTGGCTTTCAGTGAGCGGAGGTGGGTGGTGTAC